TGGTGAAGAGATTGAGATTGTTCACAGCTTTACTTTGCTTGGCTCCACAATCAACACTCTTGGTAACAGCAGCCAGGAAATCAAAAGATGAATTGCATTGGGTAAGTCTGCTGTCAGAGACTTTTCAAAGTACTAAAGAGCAATGATGTTAGTCTGGAGACTAAGGTACACCAGATCCAGTCTTTGTAATTACTTGCTATGCATCAGCGATCTGGACAATGACTAGCAATGATAGAAGGAGAATTGATGCCTTTGAGCTTTGGTGCTGGAGAAGAGTGTTGAATATACCACGACTGCTAGGAGAACAAACAGGTTTGTCTTAGAGAGAGTCAGACCAGGCTGCTCCTTGGAGGCAAGGATTCTGAAGCTTCATCTGACATACTTTAGACATGTCCCTGGAGAGGGCTGTCATGCTTGGGAGAGTGGAGTGGAAGATCATTGATGAGATGGATTGATTCAGTGACTAGGGTAATGGGGGTAGGTGTGTCAAAGACAGTAAGATTGGCACAAGATAGAGCAGGATTTGTGGCTGTTGCACATAGAGTCGCTATGGGTCGCAAGCGACTTAATGGCACATAACAATAACAACAGGTGAAAATATAGAAAATTCAGTTTCCATTGAGCATTTCTCACTTCTTATTCCATGACATTGGTTACACTTTTCATCATGTGTTGACATACCTGTTATTTCCTTTTATTGTTCTGTTATAGCCTCCTTACCTCTCTCTACCATCTCTGCTTTGTTTTGGTAAATGTTGACCATTTGGTCTTCTGTAATTCACTATTTCAGGGAACATATCATTCACTGATGACAGTGTTTATTTTATAAGCCAGTCTATTCTTTGGATGAAAGATTACTACTGGGAATGAATTTAGTTCCAAGTTCAAAGAGTATCTTAAGAAAATAGGCATTGTCAGTTTACTCTAGTCTCTATTAGTTCAGTAAGTCTGTCTTCTTTTTTTTTTTTTTACAGAATTTTAGCTTTATTGTGTATTTTTTCTCCCTTTCTACCCTGGACCTTATATTGTGTCTTTATTAGAACAATGGGTAGTGGGAGCCAGATAACATTTAGGTCAAAAGGACTTTGGCTAGATGAATGAGGCCTTTTTGTCCCCTGGACTAGTTTCTGCTTTGAGCCTTTGATTTTCTTCAGTCCCCTTTGTTCCAGGCGAGTAGAGTGCATTCATTATATCTCAGATGGCAACTCTCAAGCTTCTAAGACCCCCACACAGCACTCATCAAACCAAGATGGTAGAATATTTTCTTTCTGAATTATTTATGCCAGTGCACCAAGTTATTCCATTTGATTATGTTAACAGACCTTCTGTGCAGGATTGTCATTCAGGATTGAACTTGACCTGTTCTGTTTTACAGTGAGTGTGGCGCCATTGCTCTGCAGTTTGTCATTCCCAGCACGGTAGACCGTCTGATTGTCTGATTCCGAATGGCCAGCACTATTTCCGCTCCCTAGTCTAGCCTGTGGATTTCAGCCCATTTCAGCTCCTTCATGTCTAGGGGGGGGGTCAATCTTTATGGAATCTGTTTCATTTTTAACAGCTTCCAATTTTTCTGGGTTCATAATTCATACGTTTCCCCTTCCAGTTACTGATGGATGGTTGCACCTGTTTCTCCTCATTTTGAGTCCTGCCACGTCAGCAAATGAAGACCCTTCATTGGCTGAAGGCTCTCCTCCATCCACCTTATTGAGGTGCAGAACCACTGGCAGGAGGCGGTTCTTTCCTAGTTGTAGTTTGTGTGCCTTTAATCAGAGGGCCTCATTTTCTGGCGCTGTATACGAGAGACAGTGGTCAGCTGAGTCTCTGTGACCCAGATGCCCTTTCACTGAGCAATCTTACGACTAGGTGTATATATATCCCGCAGAAATAAGAGCTGTGACAAGAATGTGACATTACACACACTCAGATTTACTGCAACCTTATTTAAAATAGCAAAGAACTGGAAACAGCACACGTGCCCATCAATGAATGAATGGCTAAAGAAACCGTGGTATCCATTCACACAATGGAGTATTAATGCATTGCAGTAGGACCAATTATAGTAAGATAAATCTGTTACAAAAGGGCAATTATGGCATAGACAAGTACTATAAAAAGCTAAAGAATGGTTTACCCGCAGAGAGAACCAATCTTAGAGGGTTAACAGGAATGAGAATAGAAGAGAGAAGAAAGTAAAAAGCAATCAATAGATAGATTGAGTGATTGAGTGTCTGCTGTAGTTTAGGACCAGTGGTAATAGCTTCCAGCATCACAACAACACACAAGTCACAAAGTGACAGCTAAGTGATGGTTTTCTCAAAGCTTGTTTGCTGTCCACTTGGAACCGACTCACAGCTGACCCTGCAGTGGGGTTTCAGAGGCTGTAAGTCACATGGAAGGAGACTGCCCATCTTTCTCCCTTAGAGCTGCAAATAGATTCAAACCACTTGCCTCTGGGTTGGCAATGCAGTTCCCTGCATAGCAGGCCGTCAGAACTTCCAAAGTGTTGATTGGGTATTGGGAAGTGTTATACTGGTTTTTGGTGTTCAGAAGTTGAATTGGTATTAATTGGTTGAAATTCTATTTCTATTTAAAATGAGATTTAGGCTGTTAACATGTTTTCTCTAATCTTGATGGCTGGAGAAGAGACTGAAACTGTTAACAACTTCATCTTACTTGGATCCACAGTTAACACCTTTGGAAATAAGGAGACACGTTGTACTGGGAAAATCTGCAGTTAGGGATCTCTCTAAATTATTGAATAATGATGTCAGTTTGAGGACTAAGGTGCGTCTGATTCAGGCCATGGTCTTTCTGATCACTTACTATATATATCTGAGAGCTGGACAGTGAATAAGTATGATAGAAGAATTGATGCCTTTGTGCTCTGGTGTTGGAGAAGAATCCTAAACATCACACGGACGGCCAAAAGAATGTGGAGAGGGTGCAGCCAGAGTGTTCTTTGGAGACAAGAATGATGAGGCTTCCCCTTATATACTTTGAACATGTTCTAAGAGAGGCTACTCCTTGAAGAGGGACAAGATACTGGGAAGGGTGGAGGGTCGGCGGAGGAGGGGAAGATTGAGAAGAAGGTAGATTGACACGGTGACTGCCACAGTTGGCTCTGGTGTGTCAGTAAGGGTGAAGATGACCCAGGATAGAACAGGGTTCAGATCTCTTGTTCATAGAGTCACTGTGAGTCATACTCAGTTGATGGCACCCAACAACAACATGCTTTCTCAGGGATTTTTGAAATGCCAGGATTAAATGGTACTCTTAAAAGAACATGAGCAGATCTTACAATTTGTATAATAATCATATACTAGTGAATGATTTAGCCATTTTGAATGTCTTTTAAAGAACACATATTTTAAAGAGGCTATCTTTAAAGAACAAATAATTTATTTCAGTCTTTTCCTGTTTATATAGATTTCCTTGATCTTTCTTTTTCCCCCCTGCTGTAGACCTCTCTTATACGGAATCCTAGCTCATTTCTTACATGGGCCTAAGGATGGGGTCCAGAATGCACTTCTGAAAGGGTCTTCACTTCCTGGTTCGAGCTCAAATTTTGGAAGAAAACCTAGTACAAGAAAAATAGGTATGAGCTTTCTAATATTTATCTCATAAACTGTCAGTAAGATTTGCTTTTATGTTTTTCTGTTTGGAGTATATTTTCTTGAGCTTTTGAATTTTTTTCCCTGTTTTTCAATGCCATTTATACCCAATATAGTTGGGTGTATAGTTGGTCTTGCCTTAATTATCCTCCAGAAAGCCAAAATATGTTATGAAAGAGAATCTTGGAGGCCTGCAGAGAGTACCCAGTAGAGGATTGTTGTTGTTGTTGTTTAATGCCGTCGAGTCGTAGACGACTCGTAGCGACCCTATGAACGAACAGCCTGAGCACTGTTCGTACACAGAGTTTCCGGAGGCAAGCCATTTTGGAAGTGGATGCCGCTCCTGCTTCCAGGCTTGATTACTGTGGATATATTCTTAGATTGAAAACCTTTAGTCTTCCCATATACCTGTAGGTTCTGGGCAACTTTGACTTCCAGCGTACTGAATAAATAACATTTTAACAGGTCCTCTTTTCAGTTCCCTCTGAGAGTAGCTAATCATTCCTTTACTGTTGTACTTTCTGTGTTCTTAAGTTTTTGCTTTTACATGTTGTCCAACTTTAAGATGCATAGGAAGTAACTGCAAAAAACTCTAGCTTGGAACAGATACACTTGAAACTGACATCATTGCTCTTCAGCACTTTGGAGAGGTCCCTGACTGCAGGCTTTCCCAATGCAGCATATCTTTTGCTGGGACAAAGGTTGTTGATTGTAGATTCAAGTCAGATGAAAAGGCACATAACAACAATATGTTGTCACACTGCTTCTTGTAACAGTAAATAGAAATACCTCTCCTCTGTGAATGTGTAGCAATCAAGATGTCTATAATTGCTATAGCAAAGCGTTTACATGTTCAAATCTAACAGGTACTATCTACTTACCCTTTAAAAAGGCTTCATCAGTTTTTATGCTTGCTTAGACTATATGACACTGTGTGCTTCACTATTCAGTTGGCAGGCATACTTACTGTATACACATTAACACTTTCCAAAGCAACAAGGAACCTTCAGCATTAGCAGTTCTTGAGGAAGACCTTTTCTGGTTTGTAATCTTTTTATAGGGAGCTCTGGCGGCCTCTTGGCAAGAAACTGTGCAGCAATCCCGAAGGCACGTGGTTTGAATCCACCAGCTGCTCCAGGGAAAAGGATGGGCAGTCTCGTCCCGTGCAATTTACTGCCTCTGAAAACCTGCTGTAGGGTCAGCAATGGGTCAGTTCCAACTCCACAATATACAACAATGTCAGTCCTTTTTATAGTCAGTCTCCTTTATATTTGCGGCTAATGACTAGATAAGGAGAAGTATAGGTAACAGGGCATTTTTTAATTGAGTTCTGTCCTACTCCTAAGATGTGAGATGAAGTTCATAGGTGAGGCATTGATAGCCTGACAGCACAGTGTGAGAGAGAGAGAAAGTGCAAATGTGCATTAGTTCCTTTGTAACCATTCTGAACTAATGGGAGGAACAATGATTAGTGCACATTATTTTTCTTGATCATTTACTTTGCAAAGAAAATGTTCTGTCAAATCCAGTTTAGGAAATGATTTGATAAGAAAACAAAACAAAACACTTTGTTGGCCCAGCCACGGCTTCTCTGCGATTTCTTGAGTTAGTAAACGGTTGTATCATGTTCCCCTCCCACACACTTGGGCTTTCCCAGCTCTGGCCTCCTGTCCGCAGGTCTTGTGAGTCTTACTCAACAGCAGTGGAAAGATTCTGAGCATGTTACGCTAATGTTTAGATTCCACCTTATCTCCCCAGACGCTTATCCAGCTCGAAATGGAAAACACGGAAATGGAATTCTCTACTACTTGAAAATAAGCCTAAGGTGAAACTATAGCTCATCAACCTTTTCAGGGTACTTTAAAAACCAAAAGAAAAACAACAACAAAACAGTAGAGTGTTCATGTGGATAAAGTCACATTTGAAACAATAACTGGTTTGTTAGTGAAACTTGTAATCCTGCTTTGCAATATTGAAGGCAAAATAATTTTTGCTATAAATAAAAGACTGGCTGGTTATTTTACAATAAAAATTATCAGCTCAACTTCAAGTACATGAACAACACTTTTTAAAAATAATAATGGATTGTGAGAAAATCTAACATGTATTATATATAATACAATATAATGTAAGGGAACTGTTCATTTTTAATTTCTTCAAATTTTGAAATAGAATTTTAAATTTATTTGAATTGAATTATTTCTTTTGAAATGTTAATTTTGAGTTTTTAGAAAACCTAACAATGTTTCAAAGAAATTGTTTGTTTTTGTCTGTTCAGCAAGATTGCCTCAAATGAATGAAGATAGATTTTCATCTATTATCCAGTCTTATAAAATCGTACAAGCAGTCCCTGACTTAGTATGTTTAACAAACAGCATTTATGATGGTGCGTTTTACATCCTTTCAGCAATATCTACTGTGGAGTGTTACAGCACATCAGTTACATTGTTAAGCTCCTTAGTTAGCCACTGCCGGCTGACTCATAGCTGACCCTCCAGTGGGTTTTCAGAAGCAGTATTCTCCTTTCTCCCACAGAGCAGCAGGTGGATTTGAACCACGAGCCTTTAGGTTTGCAGCACAACTCCTCACGCCTAAGCCACCAGAGCGCCCCAGTTAACAATATAGCAGGCAATAATGAAAAGTTTTTAAGAAGAAGAGAGAATTCAGCTTAAATGAGAACCAACTTAGAACATAGTCATCAAAATGGGGTTGGGAACTATACCTGTACTAGCAGTTAAAATAACCAGCTGCTGAGGACTATAGAAAATATAGTTTAAAAAATTAATGGAGGCAAGTGAGAAGCATTGTCCTTTTTTTTTTTTTTTTTTTTTTTACTTGTTGTATGCCATCAAATCAGATTCAACGGACACATGAGGTGATGGCCTCTCCTTCTTCTTCAGCAGAGCATCTGGTGGATTTGAACCTTGTACTTTCGGGATTTCAGTGCAGCTTCTTGCCACTAGGCCACCAGACCTCCTTTTTTCTTTTTTTTTTAAGCATTGTCTTCTAAAGTTGGCAAATCTTGTGTGTGCTTATGGCGCTAAAATGGCCTTTTACCCCTTTTCCTTAACAGCGTGGCTAAGTTTACCTTCTTTTCCCCTTTTAGCAAAATTTCCCTTAAAAAAAGTTTGTTCTCTCAGTTAAAAAAGTATCTGTGAAACCTTGGGGGGTTCAAGTTTTCAGAGCGCCTGGAGCCTTGACCTTGTGTTTGCCAGAGCACAGTATGTGGGCACCGGCTTCGGGCCTCACCCGGTCCACCTGGAGCTTAATCATCTGTGGTTTTGGCTAAAGAACATATTCTACATTTTCTTGGATCGTTTGGGTTTGGTGGGAAGATATAAACAGCTTTGGTTTCCTTTTTTTGCCACAAGAGAATACTGCTGGGAAATATATCTATTTGAAGGAAAAGTTTTCTTTTGTTTTGCCTAAGTTGATGAGCTTTGACATCTCTCACAAAACTGAATGAGTATTACATATGTAAGATCTTATCTACACAGGTTTGATTACAGAAACTAAGAAAGTATTCTCTAAATAAAGGAAAAAAACAGAGCGCCTGTGCTTTTTGGGGAGTTCCATTTCTTAACTATGACATGAGGCGTTTACCACCACTTGTACACGGCTTCCTCAAGGAGTATATTTTATGTAAATAAATGCTTAGAGCGAATCCTAGGGTTCTAAGCATTTTTATTTCTTAGTTTTTAAAATTGTGCTTTTCCTATTGCCCTATGCCACGTACAGGGCTCACACAGTGGAAAAATCTAGCATCCTACAGTGTCTGTGCATACACTGGCTTGCTTGCCAACTGGACTTGAGATGAATACTAACAATCCTTTCTGTTCATTTCAGATGATCACGTTGGGAATAGGGAGGACGCAGGCAGCGCTGTGGAAGATCTTCACGTCCCTCCAGCAGTGCAGAGATGACACCTGCATTCAGGGCATCTTCCATCTTAAGTAACTTATTTATTGTCCCAGTGTTACTAAAATATCCCACTAATATGTGCATTTTGCAGAAATTTGAGTTTCTGCAAAAGACTTAGCCTTTGATGGTTTTCCTGAACTTGTTAATAAAAGCACAGTGTCATTTAGCTTACTGAATTTGACCTGATATAAAATGTGGAGTTTTTTTGAAGATGTCTTCTAAAGCTCCCTATCAATAGCAATAACAAATTTGTGGAAAATGAAAGGGCTTTATCATAACCTCTACATTCTGAAAAAGAAGTGCAGGTCTACACGCTCTGAATTTCCTTCCTTAGCTAAAAGGAGGTGGGTTTATGGGAAAAGTCAGGGTTTTGAGTTTTGTTTTTTTAAAAAAAAATACTTAAAAGAATACTAAACAATGTAATTCATGTAACGTTTTCTCTTTTTTAATAGCTATTTTTCATGTAACCATTTACAATTAGGGTAAATGTCTGAAATACTATCTCAAGTTTAGGTTTTTAAACTTATTAACAATGTGCTTTTTCTTTCCTGAGTCCATTTTTTCTTTTACTGGAAAATTTAATTAAAATGTAGAGGGGGAAACAATTATTTCCTTTTGCTGTAAGTAAAACAAAGAGTTGATTTTATTGTCTGAAGAATGTGCACGGAGCATGAAGAGACAGGCTTTGGGGAAATACCAAAAAGCACCTTTTCAGAGATGTCATTGTTTAACCTTGTTTGCCATTCAGTTGTATAATAGTGAGTTGAGTTATGAAAGGTCATCCCTATTTATTTGATTTCTTATTAAGCATTACTTCTATTCTCAGACTAGGACAATTGTCAGAGCTCTCCCAGTGCGCTCTCTAAACTACTATAGTGATATTTATGAAGGAAGGGTTTTTAAATAATATTGAGTCTGCAGAAAACATCTTTTACAGTACATGTTGTTGTGTACCGTAGAGTTAGAACTGACCCATAGCTGACCCTCGGTGGGTTTTCAGAGGCAGTTAATCACACAGAGGGAGATTACCCATCCTTCTCCAGCGGAGCAGCTGATGGCCTCGAACTACATGCCTTTGAGATTGCAGTGCAGCTCCCTACCACTAGGCCACCAAAGCTCTTTATAGTACATAGCGCCTGATTATAGACCCGTGTACAATGGCACCAGTTAGCACAAATGTTTACCTCAGGGAAGAATGATAAGGGTTATAGTAGGTAAAATTGACAGTCTTCATGGTGTCGATTCTCTGCAGTCTTTAACAATTCCTCAAAGCAGGTAACCTAGTGGCCAGAAGCAGGCAGTTGGAATCCACCAAGCGACTGCTTCTTGGGAGATAGAGGTGCAGTCTCCTCCATGCAGTTCACAGCCTCCAAACACCTGCTGGAGGATCAGCTATGAGTCGGCTCCAATTCTACAGTAGTGAGTTGCATTAAATCCCCGTTAGCCACACTTTACCAATTTTGAGATGTCCTGTTGGTGGATTAAATCATGTACACACACATGAAATTGTTTTAAGGGCCCATTTCTGTTTTTCAATGAAATAATGTAATACTTGATTAAGATAACGACTGTCATTCTATTATCTGTGGGACTAGAAATACTCGAATTCTTCCTAGAGGGTTCAGTTTACATTCAAGGATGTTGGCGATGGACACTGAGTTTACCTCAGGGATTGCATTTATGTGAGGCTAGATTAGGAGAAAGAAAATGCTGGAGTTTATAGTTACTGACGTAAAGTCATTAAAATAGAAGCTAAATGGAACTTGCCACATGTAGGCCATAGTCCTTTTGTTAAGTATTATTCTGTAACTTATTTGTACCTGGGCAACTTTTATACTTTAAATATATCATTTAATTAAAAAAAAAACCAACCAAAAAACCCTTTGTGTTGAGGGTGTTTTGTTCTGTCGTCAGGAGGGGTACACCAAAGCCACAGAACAATTGGAGTGTTTTTCCATGTCTCCTTTGGTAATCCCCAGCAGCTGAAGGTGGAGTGTGTGGAATAGAAGATTGAAGGAAAAGAGCTTTTCCTGACTTACGTGTATTGGGCAGCCAGTCACTTTGATAAGATGACATTGGTGGAAGTTGGTGATGAGGGCATTATCCTAATCTAGGCCTCTTGGTTGGTGAGAGCGGGATGGGCGCCTCTCATTGGAGCCAATGAGAGACTGGGACAGAAGCTGGGGCTTTTTTTAAAAGTCATTCGACTTGTGGAAGGGCCAGTTCTCTTGTGCCATGAAAGATGGCTCTGGCCTCTTGGTAGGTGGTAAGAGCGAGCTGGGAGCTATGAGTCGCCTATGACTCAATGGCAATTAACAACAACAACATAGAGCTCAGTGGGCCTAGTAAACAGAAAGTGATGCTATCAAACCAAAGGTAGGTATTTTAGTCTGTGGCACTCAGGCCTGATTTTAATTGTTTTTTGTGAAACATTCTTCTAAACAGTATAGCACTGGTCTGTCCATTTGCTGTACAGAGGTAACTCATGGTTGCTGTGATGCTGAATACTATGACACTGATGTGCCAAATGTGATAATGGTTACCCATGGTGGACAGTGTTTGGTGGAGCTTCCTGATTAAAACAAGCTTGGAAGCAAGAGTGGCATCCACTTCCAAAATAGCTTGCCTCTGAAAACTCTATGAACATGGAGAAATGACAAAAGTTATACAAGTGTTCAGGTCTTTTGTTTATAGGATCACTATGAATTGTCTATAACTTGATGACACTTAACAACAACAACAGGAGTCATATGTGGTTTGAAAAAAATTTTATATTTGAAAAAGATCTATTTTCAGAATACTAACTCTGGAATTTGTATGATTATCCAAAAAGATGAGATTCAAGTTTGTTTGAAATTGAGAAAAGAGCTTCAGAGGTAGCTCTGGTGGCTTAGTGGTAAGGAA